CCACAATAGATGCAGTGGCTTGAGGAGCGAGTGGAACTTCTGCGACACGAGAAGCAGGTGCTTTCGCGCCAGGAGACGCCACATTTGTGCAGGGAAGTGAAACTTGAGAGCAAGTTCCCCGAAAATCGAGATTCTAACCCATTTTACAAAAATTAAGGTAGCAACGGCTGAATAGTGTTGGAACATGTGGGCTTTCATCCAGGTTGATTCAGTTCTGTGATAGATGTCTCCACTCACCTCCAAATATAAAGTTTTCCATGCCTGCATCGTAGCATGTCTTCATGTTTGTTGCAATATTTTCCTGAAATTAAAAACATTAAGCTTAGGCAGTGGTGTCTTGAATAGAATTTTTTTCCCCACATTACGCACCGGGGAGGAATTTCCCACGTTACCCATCGCATGACACACATGGTGTGTCAAACATTTTTCTATTTGCTGTGCCGTTTCAGATGGTCTATTTGGAATCTATTCCATGTTCTGAAGTTATCAGAACACTTTTTGGACAAGGAATAGGAATCCCATACGAAAGTGAAAAAACAGATGAATTACTAATTACTGATCAAAGAGGTGACGAAATGAGCACTCAGGTTTTTTTCTCTTTTCTTTTTTTCCCGTTTCAGGTGTGATATATAGTCTTCACCTGCGGCATAACATCTTCGTTTCCAAGAGTTGATAACAGGACCGTCGTCGCCTTTTAATACTCAACTGCAGGGGGGGGGGTATTTTGGAATTTTTTATCCTAAAAATAGGTCCCGATTCCCTACCACTTTCACTACCTCTGCTGAACAAAGTCCCAAAGTCTGAAAGAAGCTCCATGGATTACCGTCATCTAATAGGTTATTCAAACAGCAATCAACAGTTGAAGCAGCGGTATCCAGTTCTTTGCAACTATACCCTCAGCGAAGCAATTAACTAGCACTGAACAAAGTGCAAAGTCCATTCTCGTTAATCGTTGCTGCAAACGGCAATGACTTTTCCAGGGTAGAATTCAATTTACCACAAATGTTATGTAATTCGAGACTATTCCGACCGGTTCAGATACATCGAAAGATATTATAGGCGATTTAGGCAACAAATTTTCTGGAGCATAGTCTTTCTCACAAATAATCGCTTTTCGGTACTGGAATGGGCGCACGTCCGCAAGGGAAGACATTAAAGCGGGGCGCGTCGTACGTTGGAGATTCCCAAGAGAGGTGGGGAGAGGGGGTCGTATTTTTGTGAAAATTGTTTTCCTTGCTGACCTCGGTTTTTCCCGTTTCATCTATGTACCTCCCCCCCCCGTCCATCCGCTGGATGGTAGCTTCTTAAATCCTAGGGAAAAACAGGTAGAAATTGGGAAACATACACTCGAAAAGCCGAGAGCGCTAGATGAGGATGTGTCCTTCGACCGCACGTGGTGGTGCATGTGCTTTTGTCAAGACATTTTCATTTTGAGATCAATTGTGGTCCTGTCGTTGTCACAGAACAATAAGACCTTTATCAATGCGAGTAACCTATTCTAGGCCATGTCCAAATGCGACGCCTACTCCGTCTCAGGGATGAGAAGTATAAAATGGGGATGAAGGGGGTCGTGTCAGTGATTTTGGGGAAAGGGGTCGTATTTCGCAAGTGTCCTGGACATGGAAAGTAGGAGTGCCCTTGATGGAAGGACTCTAAGGTTAGTTAGTCAGCTGAGGACAGGCACCCAAAAAAATCCTGTGCAAAATTGGAATACCATAATAGAAATGAGGATCCTCTCCACGCTTATGGTGATGGAGCACCGAGACAAAATTCCGTAGAAAAGTCAGCTCCGCGTTGCCATCGGCCCAGATTTGTACAAGGAATGCTTCAAATGCGCCCCCTAGTAGGTCTGACTCTCTACCTGTCCCCCCAAATGTTGGCACTTCCCGGTTATATACTTTGCATTTATTTGTCATCATGTTTATCGTATATCAATATATTTTTATTTCCCATATTAAATTGCATGTCAGATACGTCTCCAAAGAGCTCTGAAACAGTCGCTAGCAAATGGGACGGCGCTGTCGGCTCGGGAGGGGCATTCTGTACTCGCTAGGTCCTCTTGCTGGTCCTTGCTGATTGACAGGTTAAACGTCGTTTAGACTCGTAAACTCCTGTGAAGCTCGGGAATTGTGTGTGAGCCACTTTCTCGTTCTTCTTCAGCGTTTGTCCCGCTCTGTAGCAGGGTCCGCTCGTCTTATTTTGTCACGCCACTTCTCCCGATTGAATGCTTGATCGGGATGGGTGCCAACTACCTTTAAGTCCGCATGCAACGTGTCTGACCAGCGCTGCTTGGGGCGTCCTTTAGGCCGCTTTCCGGGAACTTCGAGCTCAAAATTAATCTTACGGACGGTGTCAAACTGTTCGTAAGATTGGTCTGGAGTCACTTTGGTTAGAGGAATTCTCAGGTCTCCACAAGATGGCCTGAATTATTCTCGCTGAGTATCATTTGGTGCCCCATGGAGCCAAACTGCGCCGGATGTACTATAGCTGACGAGCTTGGGACCGACGGGATACGTCCCATTTAGATGCATCCAAATATGACCAAGCCATGAATGTCAAATGCACAGGCCATAGCAGAATGATGAAAAAACTCATAAATAGAGCGCTGGAAACTTACTATTAGTCACGTACCCGCTTGCAACCTTTTCCTTTCCCCAGAGCATACTACATCTAGGAGATGTCATTTCGTCTCTCCACACTGCGACCACTCTCCCTCAGTCTTCGAATTTTACTTATTGACACTCACATGCAATGATACCCCTTTTGCATCGGTTTTCTTTCTTAGCGATCAGTCGTTTCCCAGAAAAACAAGTGTCAAAGGACTTTGGAAAAGAATCATTAGGAAATGTATGCGAAACTTAAAGGAGGATGCGGAGTGAAATATGACGCGTTTCCGAAAAACCAGTATTTTTATGGTTCATCTACTTTGCCTATCCGTAGGCGTTGTAGTGGCAAGTGGCACGCTAACCCCATGCGGTCCGGGAGTCAAATCTCGTATGGGCTCCCGCCTTAGCCAATCAAGCCATCTAACCTCCGGGATGGTAAATTGGTAATAGATTCGTCTGGGAGGTATGATTCTGGAATGCGCGTCGTATCCCAAAGAGAGAGCGGTTAACGGCAAAAGTTTCATCCTTTTCCAATAACTTATCCAACCAAAACGAACTTTATGGTCATAAACGCCATTACCTCCTCCACCCACTCCCCCCCCCCCCACCCTCCCCATCTCCCCATCTCTTCCCGACCCCTACACTTCTCTTCACGTCTGATTAACCACGTGCTGAATCCTGCCAAGAAGCCATTTTCAATAAAATATCAGCCAACTCTTGAAGCAGTGCTGCCCTCCACCTTAGCCGTTGAGGTTCCTCCTTCCACCAGCAGTTTTCATCGATTTCCGACAGTCCTAGCGATGAGTCACACCCACACACCACCATTAATCAAACACTCACAGGATAGAGTTCAACAAGTGAACGATGACAAACAAAACGGGTGACAGTATCTTACTGGTAATTGCCTTGATTACTCATAACCATTCAACAAAACAAAAGTAATCTCCTATGTGGAAGGGAATCTCCCCATAATGACTGATCATTCCACAGAATCAAAATTTCCCCCGACAAAATGAACATATGACGAACACGTTTGCAACAGGAAAGTGACGTTTTTCTACGGGTTGTCATGGCATCACAATTTCTCTGTGTTGTCTGTTGCAGAGGGAAAAGATTAACTTTTTCCTACTTATTAATCATTCCAAAAGGCCAGAGAAGTGAATAATGACATGGGCTGTGGAAGACTAACGAGAAAAGAACGTGCATAATTCCTTAAACTGAACTCCTCCTTACGCCTCGAGTGGAATCAATCTTACTTGGACATGGACACATCCTGCCAACTGGAAAAAAAGTTTGCGATATACGTCTCTCAGTCCCCATCTGCCATGTTATCTACCATTGTTTAGAACTGTCCCAAAGTCCCACTTTTCCGGAGTTTTTCTTTGCAAAAATTCTCATTTTCTCCGCGAAAAAAGACTACTGGGGAAGGGGGATATGTAACACACATGAAACAGGAAATACCGAGAAAAAAAAACAATTCCCCCACGAACAAACGCGGCCCCTTCCTGCCAGCGACCAAACATGACCCCTCCCCACTCGCTGGGAATCCATAGCGTACGACGTGCCCCGATTTGTACAGCCGTCTACCGAGAAACTTTTTACATTAGACATGAAACAGAAGTGCACTAGTTAAGGCGTAGCAGAGGTCCGTAGCCCAAAATTACCGGGTCAAATGATGTCCCGGTTCGGGTGGAACTCCTGCTAAGGAAAAACAAGTTTGCACATTTCGTGACAGTAAATCACTCACTTTAGGAATTCTTCCACTTTCAAGTCTTATTTCACATTTTCTCTACTTCTCGTCGTTGTGCTCACTGCTTTACAAGAGTTTGCAAGTGTTCGTCACAAATTTTTACAAGATTGTACTAGTGGTTACTACTATAAAGGTTGACCTGACTTAATAAGATTTCACAGATCACGCTTAATGCCTCTCTCTAGACGACGATGGGAAAGTAGATAGTCGCGAAATGTCGAGATGCCGCCCCCCCGAAGTCGAATGCGCCTGCGCTTGTCCTGTATGGTTTGAGGGCCTGTTCCAATGCTAGCACTTTCCTTTTGAAGCCGTGCTTCAGGAATACAGTGCAGACACAGGCTTGCAAACCACCATCCAAAGTTTTCTTTTTTGCACCCTCCAGTGCTCAGATAACAGACGAAAAGATAAGGACGAAAATGTGCTGTATTACGCAGCGGAAGATAATCAGCTCTCTTCTAATCGACTACAAGACTACCACTTTGTTGGAAACTTGTTTATAAACTATAAAAAAACAACGCAGAAACAAAACACAAACCCACCCAATTAGCCGTTGACTAGAAGTGGGAAAAGTGACCCTTTGTTACCACCCGAAAACATACAAATGGTGACAGCAATGGGGCAGCTTTCAATGGTACCTAAAATTAACACAGGAAAAGTAATCACAGTAACGATAACTACGAGCAAAAAATCGGGCAAAGGTAGTTGAGGGGGCACCCGGGCACCCGGTGGCGCGACTATGTGAGCCATGAGTTGTCTTTCTACACAGGGTACAGCATCGTGGGAGAATCCTTCAGGAGGGGAGGGTGTCGTACTAGATCGGCTGCTGACCGACTCTTCTGCTCACGCCACGCGCTAGACTGCGCCGGTCAGGGAGGAGGGGCTGGGAAAAGCTGAGGGAGGGTAGGGATTGCATGATGCTTTAGCGTTATAGTTTAACTCATACAGAGCCAGCCGGTGCGCGAACCTCGAGCCCGCCGCGATAAAGGCCCGGCTCCCGGCGTGACTCGAGACGGACGGCTAGTGGTTGTTTTGAGTGGAGGGGGGGTGGAGGTGGGAGTGGAGAAGGTGGCAAAAGCTGGGAGAAAGGAGAGTGAGGCTAATGGAGTTGTGGTGGACTCTATAACTGCGAGGGGGAAGGAGTAGCAGGAAACGATAGAAAAGGTGAATAAGAACCTTTAAATTGGGCTTTTCGAAACTCTCGGGAGGAAGAGTGACTAGAAGGTGGAGAAGAGCGAAAATGAGGGCAGAAGGATGGACGAGCTAGGAGAATGGGAAGGAGGTTGGCATCATGGGAGGGAATTCCGGGGGGGGCATACTGTCACTGCCACTTCATCCTTTACGAAGCTGTACCTTTCTGCCACGTCTTCCCGATGCTGCCTTCCTGCAGGCAAGCAAACATGGCATGGCACTGTCCAACCGCCACATGGCCCCTCTTGACCACCTTTGTCCCACGGGAATCTATGTAAATGCTTACTTTTTCCCTAAATGCGTTGAATAAAACAAGGCCAAGAAGATTGCAGAGGCACTGCGGCAGCACCAGTAACGCGGTGAAACGCAATAGATACAGAAAAGTTGTCCAAGTGTATCCATAACTGAAACATTGTAATGATAATCGATGAAACTAATCGATAGGACTCGTTAAGTACACATATGTTGTCCCATATGTCTGTGGTTTTCGTCAGCGAGACACAAGACATACATAAGGGCCGTATTGTCAACAATGTGCATGCGCCATTAATCAAATGAATAACGGTTAGACGGGGGTATTGCAGAAGGATATATGGCGATGGCAAGAAAACAACCAACAATGCCAACAATATTGGAAGACCTTGGCAAGTCGCTTGCAGGCGAGGAAAAAGTTGCAATTGACTTGCGCTTTAGACACAAAAAGAGCAGACTGATGTTCCAAAGGGTACATATTGATCGTCTCAAACAAGTATTAGGCTCTTCAAAACTTGAGGGCTGGAAACGGGTCATCTTGGAAAGGGGTGGAGGAAATCACCCTCACCTATTCATTACGCAAATCATCAGATCATTGAGAATCAGCAGCCGCAATGGACTTTGAAATTCGGCGCAGTTCGGCTTGGTGGGTGCATTTTACTGGTTTCCATCGAGTACTGCTGGTGGCTCCTGTGAGGACTTGAAAATTCTTGTCAAGCTGTGCAATAGCAGGGGCTTTGTTGTCTTTTTAGTAGGGTGTACAAGTCTCACCAAGGCGAAGCGAGTAGTTCAGAAGAAAGTAGCAAAAAAAAACAAAATGCTCATCCCAAGCCAAACAGCCATTTGTAAGAAAATGAAACATTGATAGTAACAGTAAGAAAAAAGCGGAAAACCTTGAAAAAGCGTGCACATCGAATGCAAAAATAAGCACAGCCGAGACGACTAACCTTTCAAAAGGGCTAAGTGTTGCAGTGGAATGAGGTTCCGTGAAAACGCCACAAAAATATGCAAATCCTAGAATCCATCCAAGCAAAGCTGCACAATGCAATGCATGCTTTGTTTCACAGTTCATTACCTCTGCCCTGGAATCGATCAATTCAGGATGAAAAAAAACGATGAATGTTTGAAAAGGTCATTGAGAAATGCGATACGCGTGAACAAACATATTGCTTTGAACGGAAACAAAGTAAATCTAAATCACCATCGAATCAAGGAAAATGCGATAGTATCACACCTGCATTTCAAAATAGTACATCACATCAATGACTATGCAGGTGTGCGATGTGGGGGTGTTTACCCCTTATGCCAGCATAACACGCCTCTTCAAACAATGCAAAGTTTGGGTCTGGTAGTACTACTCATATCATCTGCCAAAACACTGTAGTCATAATGAGAAGGCTGAGCGCCAGAATGTGGGTGACTGCGCCGCTGACTCGGAATGTCCCCTCCCATTATAGCACGCTGCTGTCCATTGCATTGCTTAGCCAAATGAGGAAAGCAGCAGGCTGCCACCAATAAGTGAAGAATGGCTATATTAGTGGGCCTTTCGTTTGGGGATTAATGTTTGGATTTCAAAATAAAAAAAAGTGAAATGGAATACGAAGAAGCAACCGAAGCGATTCAAGCGGGAGAAGTGGCATCACAAAATAGGAAGAGCGGATCCCGCCACATAGCAGGACAAACACTGAAGAAGAAGAAGAAAAAAAAGAAGAAGAAAAAGAAGAAGAAGCGGCAACCGAAGCTAGGGACAACGTGACACCCAAAATTCCTTAGAAATTCAGGCGCGGGGGGAGGCTTTTGCTCGCTACTTCCCAACGACGTGTTGAACCATCAAGCGGAGATATCTTGTGAACGGTACCAACCAAAGTTTGTAGAGACCGAGCCTGTATTTACTACAGTGACTCGACAAACCCGCTCCAGCTTCACAAGATTACGCAGGTTTCATCAAAGAATTGTAAACCGGAACTAAAGAAGCAGCGAAAGTGCAAAATGCACACTCCTCCTGTCGCCAAACTGCCGAAAGAC